AGACATCTCCGTACAGCCCTTACGCTCGTCCTCGTCCGTCGTAACGGAACCAACGACCGTCGTCGACTTCTCTCCCGTTCCTCCGACATCCTTGAAGTCCCGATTGGCACGTTTCGCTTCAGTCGACGTCTCTAGCGTGTGAGCGTACCAGTCCAGCCAATACTCTGGCGTTCCGAGATCTCCAGATGAGACCTCCCGGGTACGTTCCAACACGTCTTCCGGTATCCCAAGCTCGGCACTCATTTCCGCGAGTGTCGGCTTCCCTTATTCATTCGCGTTCCGCTTGGCACGTAGCAGCACCTTTTCCTCGCTCATCGGGAACAATCGTTCTTCAGTTCCTTCTCGTACTCCTCGGGTTCATTCTTCACTACCTGGCTGCCACCGTGCTCGAGCATATCCAGCTCCTCGTCGGTAAACAGGCGTTCGTAGTGCTGCGTCGAATCCTTCCCCTTAGTACGTTCCTCGTCCTCCTCGGCCTTCTGAGCTTCTGTCCTTTCTTGACCTGTACTCACTTGTCCAATGACTGCCGAGAACTGACTTGACCTGGCGCCAGATGCGTCCTCCGTGATCGTTTCGAGTGCTCCTTCGTACTGCTTTGAGCGGGTGGACAGCGTCTCCACCTCCTCGCTCTCTTGGCACTTCTCTTCGGCGTCCAACGTAGTCTCGGGGCGTTCCGTTGCTCCCTTACTGACGTCTTCCACCAACTTGGAGCGTTCCGTTGTTCCGTTTTCCCAGTTTAGCTTCGCCGAGGAACGTTCCGTTGTTTCCTCAGCGACCACTCTCTCTCGTACGGGCCTCTCAATAGAGCCATTTATCTCTAGACACTCGTTCTTGGCGTCTGACGCAGTCTCGGGGCGTTCCGTTGCTCCCTTACTGACGTCCTGTACCAACTCAGAACGTGCCCCCTTTTCGTTTTCCCAGTTCAGCGTCGCAGAGGAACGTTCCGTTGTTACCTCAGCGACCACTCCGTCTCGTGCGGGCCTCTCCGTAGAGCCCTCAATCTTCTCATCTCGTTCTAGCCCAGTCCGTTTCGTCGGACTGCTCTCTCCGCTCGTTCCACTTTTAGTTTCCACAATTTCCGTCGTGACGCTCGTGACAGGAACGTCATGTGCGCCTTCATCGCTCATCACACCTCTCCCGAGAGACCTCTGATGCCCACCCGCCAAGTCTTGTCGCGGTTAACCCTCATCTCTCTTAGTGTCGCCAACCAGGCAACAGGAAGGAGCGACACTTCCTTCCCCTTCCTCCTGCCCCCTTCATTGTTGGGACGTACCAGCGGGTGCAGTCACGTTCCCGGCGGCCACGCTCTGCATCATTCCTCGCAACGTATCGAGGCTCGGGCATCTCGCCACCAGGTGACCCGCCTTACCACACAGCAGACATTCCGCTTGGCGACGTTCTCCGTTCCGGTAATTCCCTTGGGGTCTGGGCCAGTTGCACTCCATCGAGTAGTGTCCAAGTTCGTTGCACCGATTGCAACGGCCCTGTCCACGGGGACACGTCTCACGTCCACATCCAACACGACCACAGCGTCCGCAAACCACTTCTCCTTCCGTGGTATGCGTGTCAGGCCCTAGTCGGATGCGAAGAGGTCCGAGCGGTGCGCCAGCCACGTTCCCTTTCGGAGTTGGAACGCCAGTACTTGGAACGTTCTTAGGAGCCACGGCGCCAACGAACCCTTGTGACGTTCCAGGATTCTGCTGCTGCTTCAGCATCAACTGGTTCATTTGTTGAAGCTGCTGGTGCATCTGCGACTGCGTGGACGTCACCGCGTTCACGTTCCTCACCGTCGTCCCACTATTCGCAAACTCGTCCTCTTCTTCCACAGGGAGGTGCAGATTCTTGTACAACAATAAAGCGCACGCTTCCTGGATCGACGCAGCTAGGTTCGCGTTTAAAACGGCACGCATCTGCTTGTTCCTTAACCCATCGAGGAAGAACTCGTACTGCATCCGAGGCTCGTGATAGTTTAGGTACTCGCACGTCGTGATGATCCTGTCGCCCGACTCTTCCGCAGATTCACCGTAGTTCCTCTTAGCGGCCTTGAGTCGGCTCCACAACTAAACTGGCGTCTGAAAGATGAAGCGGTTGTGGAATCTCACGCGCAGAGTTTCAAAATCGTTGATCCTCGCATTGTACCACCATTCCTGACCCCAACTTGCCCTTCAGACACTGCTCAAAGGCTGTCAACCGCATTTGGTCGTCCATACCAAGCGTACACTTCTCAAAGGAACGCCAGAACGCGGCCGCCATTTCGTACGTGGCCGTCTCTGAGTAGAACGGGACGATAACTTTCACAGCGTTCAGTAATTCGGTCGGGATACCAACAATCGGAACGTCCTGCTGAGCACCTCTCCCCTGACCCGTGCGAGCCATTGCGGACTCCTTGGTCGTAGTACGGACTCGTCACTTGCCCTTGCGGAGGTACTGCGTTAGGTGCGTACCTTCCTCCTTTAGCACCCACGTTCCCTTCTTGTCCTAGCGCTCCTGATCGTCCCTGAAACGTCGCAACATTCATAGGAGACGTTCTTTGGAACGGCAATCCGTACGTTCCGCTTCTGGGGCTGGCAGGTGTCTGCCGTGCAGACGCAGCAGACCACGCGGGTATCGCTCCAGCAGCAGCCCACTAAGGTGTCGACGTCATTGGCGGTTGGAAGGGAGGGTAGAACGCACTCCGTTGGGGCGTTCCACCACCTCCACCGTTTCACGTGGAATCAGCCATAGGAATTGACACGCCCCCATACGAAAGAATAGCGGCATCGGCATTCGGCTAGGTGTCGAAACCGGCGTTTGATCCCTCATCCTCGGGGTCATAGGTCCTTGGTACCCCATCACTGAAGACGTCATTGGTCGGGTCGGCGTCGGCACAGTACTTGGTACGTGTCCTGTAGCCTGAGGTCTTGGTGACGGCACCGGCGTTCCGTTCGTCACCCCAGCCCTCTGTAGCAATTGGGCGACCTGGACCATGATGAGAGCCTGTAAGGCTGGGTCCGTCGTCGGCGTTCCACTTCCTCTCGTCGGCGTTCTCATCGATTGAACAGACGTCGCTCCTCGACTTCCACCAGGTACGTACGCTCGCGTAGGTGTTCCAGCAACAACATGTACAGCCCCTGGGGCACGTCGGCTTCCTTGTTGGCCCGGTACGTTGTTGTTGGGTTGTTCGTACACTGACGTGACCAAGGGCACGTCCCTTCTAGAGTCGTCCATCGGTTGCAAGGAGGGACGAGTCCGATCCAAGGCGAACCCCACCTCGCGGCGACCTCCCGAGTCCATCACCGAAGCGTCCAAGAGCGAGCCCGCCGTCGTCCTTTCAGGCGTCGTTCCTTCGCTGGGCGCTGGTTGACGTGCCCACTACTCAAGGACTGTGTTGGACATCTGTCCACCCTGAGGCGTTCCAGATACAGAAACAACCATCCTTCTCGTTCCCGGGGACGGAGACGCCACGTCGAACATGTCCTTGCCTTCCACGTGGACCGCTCGTGTCTCGTGCTCTCCCGTCTCGTGATCAGCTCGCTGCGGCGTGCCACGTTCCCCGCCATCTCCCTGGCGCTCCCTTCCTTGAAGTCTCTGCGGCGTGCCGTCGTCAACAGCTCTCTCAGCGCGCACTTCTTCTTCCTCCTCGAGGATCTCCACGGGCTCCGTTTCCAACGGAGGAGCCCATCCCCCTACCCCTTCACCTTCTCCAAGTCCTTCGTTGGACCATCCTTGAGCACTCATCCTTTTCCCACTTCTCTCTCCTTCTTCCTTGGCACTCCGTTGCCAAGGCTTCTTCTTACGCTTGTACTCCTACGAAATTCGGGTAGAAGATACCCTGTTTCTCCACCAAATTGTCGCGTTCTTCCTCTAATCGGGGTCGTGAGTATCATGGGCCGACGTAGGAGGTAGTAGTGTTAGCGACACTACTGCGATAGTAATGTAAAAGTTGATATATTCTTGTGTTGCTTGTTAGAAGGAAATCCACGACTGACTTCCTCAATTCACCTCGCTAAGTGTTTTTAGAGCTTCTTACCTTTTAGCAGATCCCTCGTGCGTGGCGGTCCAGCTCCAATTCCCGCCACGACCAGCTGCTTCAGGACTTCAAACTTGGAACGTCACTGTCTTGGCCGCAGGTCCCGCTTGCTTGGACGTGGTCCGGAGAGTCTGGATTGAGTAGACCTTCTGCAGGCAGTCAGCCAGCATCGTTAATCCACCATCTAGCTGTACACCGTGACATTGTCTACGACAGCTCTGCCGTAATAGAGACGGCGGTATAGCTCGCGCCTTGGACCCCAAAAAAATGTCCAGTTGCTGCGACTGTTTTTTTTCTAGCCAATCAGGTTCCTCAATTGCTCGCAAAAAATAAAACTTATTGTTGTGCCAAAGTTGGCAGCCCCTAATAATTAATAAAAAAAAAATTAATTCAACCTTGGGTGCTTTTTACTTTGGAGCTGTAAAAGGAGGGTGATGTAGCCTCTCTCAGCTCATCCGAAACGGAGCTGCGCTAGTGCTTCAAAGTGTAAGCGCTTCAGAGAATTGCTTGGGCATGACCTAGCATGCTATACTCAGAGCCGTGTTGGTGCTCCCTTGATCATGCAGGGCGCTACTTTGGTGATAATGTTGCCGCCGCTGCTGAAGGCTTTCAGGATAGCACATTTCTCAAAATACGATATATCTCCCACATACAAATTTGACGCTATTGCCACAAATTGTGGCCCATAATCGGTCTCGCAATGCCAAGTCGGCGTATCGTACTCTTGCCATTCGATTTGAGCACCAAACTTCAGAGCTCATCTGGAGACCTTGCCTAGTGTGGTCCACGCTACGATTTAAATTGGTAATTCCACGATTAATAAATGATTAATTCAAATTTGATTCATCGCGGAACTGATTACATGTAGGTACAGTATTTTACTGAATTAAGTGTTTTGTCAAAAGCGATACTCGTGTGCCCTTTCTCTTGATCAAATTTGCGAGGTATTATAGTCTGTGGTCAGCGAACTAAGTGGCCAAGCAGGAAGATCATGTCTCCGCACCGCGAGCGCCTCACACGCTTCTATCAGAAGTACAACGCCGATAAGCTGCATGAGATCGATGGCGTGCTGGAGCGTTTCAAAGGACGCGAGACGCAGTTGTTCTCGGCGCTGGTGAAGAAGTACGGCGCGGAGCCCACCGAAGATGAGACGTTCGACGCAGCTGCTGATTCCAAGGAGGAGACAGAGGCGGCCCCTGCTACACCTGCCGATGCTCTCGATTCGGAGGATGCAACGGATTTTAACTACCAGAGACTGCTGGCTTTCTATCAGAAGTACAACCCCGAGAAGGCTGGAGATGTGGCGCAGGTGCTAATCAAGTACAAAGGCAATGAGTCTAAGCTCTTCGACGCACTAGTCAAGAAGTACGGCCCGGAACCAGGCGACTCTGACGAGGAAGGAGACGCTCAGGAGGACGATAACGACGATGATGAGAGCGAGGAAGAGGAGGACGACGGCCTGACGAAGCTGCGACACGTGATTTACTGTCCCATTGACACGTTCCCGCCCGAGTACTGCGAATACGGCCCCATGTTTAACGAGTGCAAGCCGTGGCTGGCCGAGAACTGTCCCGATCTGATGCTTACCAAGTATAACCGTACGATCATTGAGTTGCTGGAGGTAGAGCAGCAGATTGCTGACGGTGTGGAAGGCATTACCCTCGTGGTGGAAGGCAAGACCGTCAAGAAAAAAAAGAAGAACAAGATTGAGGAGGCAGCTAAGCGGAAGGAGAACTGTATGGTGACCATCTCCATGAGTTCGCGTAAGGGCCGCAAGCGTCTCACCTTCGTTACGGGTCTCGAGGACTTTGAAGGTGTTAACATCAAAGACGCCTGTAAGAGCATGGGCAAGAAGTTCGCCTGCAGCTCGTCGCTGTCCAAGACGGACCAGGGCCAGCAACAGATCCAACTGCAAGGTGACTGTGTGACTGAGTTGTTGGAGGTGCTGCCGGGGATGTTTGGTGTGCATGAAGACCAGATCATCGTCATTGATGAGCCCGTCAAGGCTGGTAAGAAGGGCAAGAAGTAGTTGAATTCGCACGTAGCACCCAGCAACCCAAAATACAACTCTCCTGCTCGTAAAGTGTAAGACCCACTCTTAAACTGTAAGACCCACTTTTAAACTGTAAGCACTCTTATACATGTTAGTACCAGTTTAGATTTTAGAACGGCGAAGATGAGCGACGACATCCTGGACAACATGTCCCTCTCGGATGACGAGATGCTGGACAACTTGGCGGATGACATGCTCGTGGAGATGTCGGAGGTGGAAGTAGCACAGCCGGCAATACCATACACCCCCGCTGTGCCAGCGTCTTGGGCCCGTGGCGCAGTCTCGACGTCTAACGCCGCGGCTGCACCACCTCCAATGCCAGATTTGAGCCAAATGGTGTCCCAGATGATGCCTATGATGTCACAAATGTTTGGAGGCAATGCTGGTGCGAATCCGATGCTCCCAGGCGGTGCCAACTCGCTGCAGCGCGCTTCAGTCTCGTGGCAGGAGCTTGTGAGTCGCCACGTGCCCAGCAAGGAGCAGGAAGACTGGCTCACGACCATCGACAAGGACGCAACCAAACTGCGCGTCGCCAGCTCTACCAAGGTATCGACTAAGCCTCACAGTCGCTCATACCGGACGAAAGCGTCAGCGATGCCGAACGTGTGTATGGAGGTGGGCACGATGCTTGCCAGTATGCTGAACGAAGCCGTGCGCTCTGCGCAGCAGGAGCATACTCGTCAGTGGCAGGAGCTGCGGGACAGCTTGGTCTCGCAGCTTTCACGAACTGGGATGACGCAGGTATACGAGCACAAATTCAAAGAAATGCTGCGGCAACGTGTTGCCAACAACCCGGACTACCTCGCGGAGAAGGACAATGAACGCTACCGCAACATTACAGATGCACTCTTTGTGTAGTGCAAATGCAGATCACATCACGAAGGTGTAGAACGATGAATGAGCCAGAATGATAAGGAAGTGTTACAGCATAAATGATAATACTGTTTTTGGCAAAACCGCTGGGTTCTCAATTAATTTAGGCCGTGTTCGATTTAAGCTAAAACCAGCTGTAATTGGTATTAAAGAGCTGGAATGTCTCAACCAGCTAAGAAACACAAAAAATGACATCCAGCAGGATAGCTCCAAACGACTGGTTTCAAAATTTAGCTCTGGGTTGAATTTTGAATCGTCCTGCTTTGCGCCTTCAAATCCAGCCTTTTTCTGATGGAACACGATCACTTATTTTATCTTTATTTTACTTAACAAAACGACTGTTCTACAGCTCTAGCTTATTTTCGAACAAGCTGGATTTGCCCCTGCAAACCGAACACGGCCTTACATAAATCTAAGGCCGTGTTCGATCTAGGCTAAAACCAGCTGTAATTGTTATTAAGGAGCTGGAATGTCTCAACCAGCTTTATTCCTCTAAGAAACACAAAAAATGACATTCAGCAGGATAGCTCCAAACAACTGGTTTCAAAATTTAGCTCTGGGTTGAATTTTGAATCGTCCTGCTTTGCGCCTTCAAATCCAGCCTTTTTCTGATGGAACACGATCACTTATTTTATCTTTATTTTACTTAACAAAACGACTGTTCTACAGCTCTAGCTTATTTTCGAACAAGCTGGATTTGCCCCTGCAAACCGAACACGGCCTTACATAAATCTAAGGCCGTGTTCGATCTAAGCTAAAACCAGCTGTAATTGTTATTAAGGAGCTGGAATGTCTCAACCAGCTTTATTCCTCTTAGAAACACAAAAAATGACATTCAGCAGGATAGCTCCAAACAACTGGTTTCAAAATTCAGCTCTGGGTTGAATTTTGATTCGTCCTCCTTTGCGCCTTCAAATCCAGCCTTTTTCTGATGGAACACGATCACTTATTTTATCTTTATTTTACTTAACAAAACGACTGTTCTACAGCTAGCTTATTTTCAAACAAGCTGGATTTGCCCCTGCAAACCGAACACGGCCTAAATGTGCTTTTGTAGCTACAAGCTCAATCAAGTTATCACTTCGAAGTATAATAATAGACAGTGAGTATTTCGCCCGACTGGCTAACCGACTATACAATTATACTCCCCAACATGCATAAAATGGACTTAGCTGACGATCTTGGCAACACTCGCTCGGAGTTATTAATAATTTCTAATCCCAGACACAGCGCCTTGCCGAGTCGAGGTCTTACAGGCCGCGCAACGGCGCCCCCCCCGAGCGCAGCGCAGCAAGCGAAGAGAGGGGCGGGCCCACGGCTATAAGTTCACAGACGAGTGCAAGTCCTACCTTTACTTCAATTTAACCGTATTATACTATCTGAACACGATTAAAAGTCGATGCTATGTTACCTCAGTCCGGCGAAATAACGAGTGCCATAATAAAAGGGCACCACCAACGTTTGGGTAGAAAACAGCCATTTGCTTCAAGGAATCCGGCCCAGGGCAATACCGGTATCAACGGTATTTCTGAAAATAATCTCTGCGAGCTTGGCGATGTACTTACACTACACAACACGTGACGGGGTCTTGCGTTAGCTTCCGAGAGTATACAAACTCTAAGTGAACGGCAGTTCACAGGTCCCCTCTTTATTCAAAAGAGAGCGAAGTGACCTAATTAAGGTAGAATGTAAACTGAATATATTTATAGGTAGATAAAGCTTGGGTTTAATACAAACTATAAGTCACCTATAGAAATGCAATGTCATCAACCAATGGTTGGGTTTGGACGACCTTGGTACTTTGTACCAAGTATCCCGAAGTATGACGTGTCACACTTCATGTAACCAGGGTACACTTAGGGCTACGTACTCCGTTACATCCTCCCCCACTTAGGTTCGTTTACCGACCAATCAGAATGAAGAGGTGTTCGTCACAAACTTTCATTCTCAAAGTCGAAAACCATCGACTTGGCCGCGCGAGCGCGGCCCTCCATTTCACGAGGAGCTGTCGCTTACCGCGACGCCGTTGCTCCTGGAGGATCCGCTCCACGTGGAAGTGGACTTCTCCATCCCGGTTAAGCAGGGGCGGAGGTGCCCTCGTACGAGTACGAGTACTCGGCGCCTCCCGAACGTCACTCTCGTCCGAGTGCTCCGGCTGCGGGTCCGACACAGGGCCCTGAGGCTGACCGCCTCCGTCAACGTGTCCTCGTGCTTGAGATTGCTTTTGGCCTTGGGACTGGCGGTGTTGCTGCCGCCCAGACCGGGAATCAGGGCGAGATCGCTCGTCTTGCGGTCCGCCTGGATCGGTTGGAGCGAGAGGTCGCGAGCCTGCATCTGCGGGTGGATCGCCGGGCCTCTTCGTCCGATCTGGACGAGGCCTTTCGCATGATCCGACGGATCGAGGCTCTGCTGCCACGTCCGGAGCCGCCTGCGGCACACTCCCAGACGTACGCGTATGGTGCGTACCCGGCATACTCAGCGTACTCGGCGTATGGCTCCGGGGTCCGTTCGTACGGGGCCCCTCCGGTGTACGGTCTTGACCGCAGCCTTGCCGTTCCGACCGAGGCTTGGGTGCCTGCTCCGATGCCTTCGCCGACGTCTCTGGCCCGCTCTCGCTTTGAGGAGCTGGGCCAAGGTGGGTCTGCGAGTCAGCAACCCCCTGCGGGTCAAAGTACCGCTTAATATGTCCGACATAGAACGTCGGGTGCGTCGTCATTGACTTTGGAAGGTCGATGGTGTACGACGCACCATGTCTGGCCAGGACTGCAAAAGGTCCGATGAAGCGGTGCTTCAGTTTGTTGCTGCCGACAGAGCTAACAGTGTCTAGAGGTAGGTTCCTCGTGTCTAGCAACACTAAGTCCCCAACCTCAAAGATACTTAAGTTTCCTCTTCCTTGTTTGCCTGAGTACTCCTTTTGTTTATCTTGGGCCGCTGCCATGGCATCGCGGACCCTGCTGACAATGTTCAGCTTGATATCCATAAAGGATTCCACCTGTTTCCGCAGCGAAACTGGTCTTACATCCGAGACCTGGGAGGAAAGGGCTTTCCGAGCCTCTCCCCCACTTAGAATAGAGGAGTCAGTGTCTCCTCGAAGAGTGAGAGGCACCCTGGGGTGGCGGAAGCCGTTCAAGTAGAACGGCGTGAACCCCGTGGACGCGTGCACCGGGTTGTTGAGCGCAAACTCAACAACTGGAAGCTGCGTCGACCACGTACGTAGTGCTGCCGCGCACACACTGCGCCGAGTGTCCTCGAGCACTCGATTGACGCGCTCTGTCTGGCCGTATGTCTGCGGATGGTCCGCAGTGGACATCTGCAGACGCGTTCCCAGTAAAGGGAACAGCGTTTTCCAAAACGCAGCCGTGAACCGCGGGTCTCGGTCCGAGACAATCTTCTCTGGGAGATCGTGATAGCGGAAGACGCCATCGACGAACAACCTTGCGGTTTGTTCGCCCGTAACAGTGACGGGAATCGGAGCAAGATGGTACATCTGACACGCGAACACCAAAATTCCGGTGTTGCCGTGCCCGTCGGCGGGAAGGCCAAAGATGAAGTCAAGACTCATCGACTTTCAACAGTCAGCCGGTAAGGGCAGGCTCTGTAGTGGAGCCGAAGAGTGCCCTGCGGGTTTGACCCGCTGACATGTTTCACATGTCTTGACGTACCGGGCGACCCACTTGTACATGTGGATCCACCAGAAGGCCTGAGAGACCGACAGAAAGGTCTTCTCGCGACCCAAGTGGCCGCTGGAGGGCGCGTCGTGCGCCTCCGCGAGGATATCGAACTTCAGATCCTCGTCGTTGGGTACGACCACCCGTGGAGGTTCATTGGGCTCCACCCGGTAATAGAGGAGGCCATCCTTCAACTCATATCGGTGGAGCCGTGAGCGCTGTCGCGACGAGAGACAGTCGGACTTCGCGCTCGTTCCTGCCATAAGGAACTGGACGATAGGCGCGACAGCCTCATCGTCCCGATACGCCATGCGTTCCGATCATATAGATCCGTTGTCACCCGTGTGATGTGGGTCAGCTCATAGTCAGGACGACGAGAGAGGGCGTCCGCAAGCACGTTGAGCTTGCCTGACTTGTATTCGACGCGGAAGTTGTACTCCGCGAAGAAGGACAGCCACCTCGCCATCCTTTGGGAGAGGTGATGCGAGTTAGTCGCCGTCCTCAAGGATGCGTGGTCTGTGTAGATCACGAAGGGCCTCGAGCCCAGAAGGTGAACACAAAACTTCACAAGGGCATATTTCATTGCCAGGAGCTCCTTGTCGTGGACAGGGTAGTTCCGCTCGGCGGATTTGACCTGCCTGGACTGGAACGAGATGACTCGTTCATGCCCAGCCTTGTCGGCCTGCAGCAATGCACACCCGATGGCATAATCGGAGGCATCACAGACGACGCTAAACGGCTTCGTTTCGTCCGGCAGGGCCAGGACAGGGGGCTCTTGGAGACTGGCCTTGATGCTGTCAAAAGCATCCTGGTGCTCTTGGTCCCAGCGCCAGTCGACGTCCTTCTGAAGGAGGCCCGACAAGGGCTTAGCAAAGCCCGCATACCCCGCGCTGTGCTTGTGAAGGTAGTTGGCCAAGGCCCAACCACTTTCGAAGATCCTTTTGGGATCGGGGCGTCGGCCATGCTGCTATGGCCTTGACCTTGTCTGGGTCAGCCCGAACGCCCACGTTGCTTACGAAGCAACCGAGAACTTTAATCTCTGGTGATGCGAACACGCACTTGTCGATGTTGGCGTATAGCTTGTTCGCTCGCATTACGTCCAACACTCGACGGAGGTGTCCTAGATGCACCTCCATGGCCGTCTTGCCTCCCTCGGCACGGCTATGGACGAATATGTCGTCGAAGTACGTCTGTACGAAGGTACGCAAAGGGCGGAACAGTTGCGTCACCAGGCGATTGAACGTCGCCGGGGCGTTAGACAAGCCCTGCGGCATGACGAGCCACTCCCAAAGCATGCCGCTTGGAGTGCTTACCGCG